ATTATATTTTCACATTCATAACTGCACACTACCAAACAGATATGTGTTGGGACTCTCCTAATATCAATAGCCTTTCGAGAGGGCTACACCTTCCAAAGTCTCCGACTCGACAATAACCGAAACCATTCCTCCCCTCTAGCCAAGACAACCCGAGCAAATTATCACTATGACCTCGCTAATATCCTACTGGTAGAAGTAAGAAAATAAGTTTGAGTTACCTTGCTTAGATCTAGAATGTTGTTGAGAAGTCGGAGTAGAGCGGTTGAGCATTTTCGAATTTGAGTAACCGTTGCAAATTGTTCATTATTGAGACAGTCATCACACATTAGAATGTCCAGTAATCCAATTACTGCTGCCATCGGTGTCCTCAGTTCATGACTGCAGTACCATGTGGGGGGAAGCTATGGTCAGTAAAGTAAAAGCTGGAGATACTGTTTCGTGCTAAATAAACTCACCTCATATTCGCTAGAAATTGACTCTTGTAATTACTAGATGCCTCTGCTCTTCTTCTTGCATCAAGATGGCTTATTAGTTCTGCCCTTAGCTTCATTTCCTTAGATACTCCTTTCGTCAGAATCAAAATGCATAGACATCCAATAACTAAGATGCATAAGGATGCAGAAATCAGTATAACCAATGTTTTGACAGCTCTCTCATCTACCTTTCCCATTATGTATTGTCTAGGAATGATGACAACCCCCACCTACAGAAACCAAAATGCAGTCGAGTATCTGATTAAGTTTGTAAGTACTCTATGAGTCGATGGATAGATGGATAAAGATACTTACAATAGGAAGCCTCTTCAGATTAAGAAAAAACGAGTCGATGTAATATTGCTGATCACCAAGCTTGACGTTCTCTTCATGAACCTCATGTCCAGGAGGAAAATTGTTTCCATAGGTTTTCTGTAACCGCTCTGCTCCTAATCGAATCACATCGTCCTGGGAATCAACAGCCATCGTGAGCTTTGGACCACTTGACGTATTTCTTAACAGAGGAGCATTGGCTGAAGTAGCAAGCAAGTAGCCCTCTTGAGAGGTTAGATAAATATGTCCACTATGGAACTCAACAAGCTCCTTCATTAGTTGACCTACACTATAAAGTGAGGTTGTAACGCCCACCACCGCAACTATGCTTTCATTCGAAGCATCAGAAACAGGCAGGGCTGCAGAAAGCAACGGTGTATCCATGTACTTGCTCACAGTAACATGCCATGAGGCAACACCATCTGCTAATTGTGAAATGCCAGCAATACTAATCAAGTCCTCTGGTGGGATTTGCTTTGCTTTCCCGATCTTCTGGCCACTAATAGGATCAAGTGGTTCCCTATACCATTTTGCAGACATATTTCCGTGTATGTGTGGCTCTGACCACCCTTCACCCGACGAAAGCCGATTGATATTATGTGATTCAGTGGCACTAATGGTATAGTTTGTAAGATCTGAGTAAATATAAAACGTATTGTTGCTTGTATGATCTCGATGGAATGCCTGGACAAAGCCATTCTTGTAATTGATGGTTATGGCATTAAGAGCTTTTCGACTCGCAAACATCGCCCACGTAACATCCCTCATTGCTTCATACAGCTAAAGAAAAGAATTAACACTTGAAACATGGATTCTAGGCCAAAAATATGAAAGGTAAATCAGACAAAGGATAAGAAAAAAACCTCAACTTGCTCTGCTTGATTAGTAGGCTTGCTGTACTTCCTCATTACATATTCTGAGAGCTTAACCTGAGCTGTGGTTATTTCAGCCGTGGAATTTAAGACACTCCACATCCGTAAGATCGGGCGCTGCAGCAGTTCATGGCGAAGACCATACGCCAAGCTATGTAGTGACTCTGCTGTGTAGCTCTTTGTGAAATGCCATGTGAGAACTGTCAACAGCCCAATCAAAATAGCAAGCATCACCTGTATTTTAATGCAAAAAATCATCACTTCTTCTACCAGGGCACTGCCAAGACTTATAATTGAAAGCCACCTATATGTATAACTAGAACCCAAACAACATAAACAAAAAACTGCAGAGAATCACAAGTGGGTGAGAGAAAAACTTGTGTTTAAGGACTGATCAGATCATAAGTGGGTTAAGCTTGAATCAGTTTCAGATCATTTCTGAAAAATAAGACTAACCATTATGGCAAGACGAGCAACAAAGACACTGTAGTAAGAAGAGAGGCAATGAGAGTTAGCATATTGAAACTCTTGCTGCTCAACATCTCTGTGAAAGATTCTTCTACTGTGAGGGGCTGTGTTTCTTCTCAGAGAACTTGCAAGGCCTGAAATTCTACAGAACACCTTCCTCAAGGGAGTAGACATTGGAGAAGTGAGAGCTGAAGAAGACGAAGAAGATTCAGAAATTTCAGAGAGGGTATCCTCTTCTGCCATTAATACTTGAAGCTACAAAATAATATCCATTTTTTTTGCAGAAAGGGTCTGGTTTTGGTGTCAAGAAGAGAATATGTGCAATTGGGTGGAGGTTTTTAAATATACTGCTCCTTGTGTCACCTCCCACTTTTTCAAGGCAATATCTGCTAGAAAACTCTTTTATTATTACTTTTTTCTTCTGAAAGTGGCAGAGGAGGTGGTGGATTTTATCCGATTATTATATTTCAAATTCACACACCCATTATGAACAAAAAAGCTTGGAAAAATTGCAAATAATGGCCACAAGGAGATATAGCAGAAGATTTCATTCCAGCAATCAATGAAGAAAAAGGAATACGATCTGTTGAAAGGATTCTGTAGAGCTTAAAAAGGGCATTCCCTGTTTGAAACTCGATTAGCTATTGGAATTTGTTAGATTCCGGAATATCAACGAAATACGTGTCCGATTATCAATCTACTCTTTAAATCCACAAAAGAAAAGTAAAAGGAGAGTTCAATACTGTTTGATTCAGCTAACACAACTTTTGACTTCATAGAAAAAGATTGGGATGGCTTTGTGATGCTTAAGCATCGCCATTGGATCAAATTTGGGGAAAACTTCGAGCAACCTGGAAAGAATCGTACTAAAGTAAAGAGAAAAAGATGAACAAGTTACTTTTTACCTAAGATGACGATGATTGAGTTTTCTTCACCTCTGCCGCTTTTGTGTCGGCGAATGGTGAAGATTTGTATCTGCGGCGGCGATTCGTTGATTGAAAAAGTTCATCAAATACATTGAAGATATAGAACAATGAGAAGAAGAAATCTTCAAAGCTCTGGAAATGGATCACTAGAACTGCTACAAGGAATTTATGACATGAACATCGTTCGTTTCCTTTTGCTCAATTATCAATTTTTCATGACATTCCCACATGCACGAGGGACCTATCTTACAAGCTATCAACTTTCATGGGGGAAGAAATTGAGTTTTTCTTGTACTATCATAGCTTCAAATTTTATCTTTTTCCAACTACTCTCGTTAAAGTTGACTCGGGTATAAGAGATATTTCTCGACTTGACGGTTAGCCTTTACGAGTTTCAATCATACCATATATCAACGATGATATAGTCTTTAAGTTTCTAGTGATTTTTATAAGCTCGAAAAGACCGCACTCAAACCGAACATTAAACAGAATGTTATGATAAAAAAAGAGAGGATTAATATAAGTTACGAACCCATGAAAATGATTGATATAGGTTAGATTATGAACCTCTTAAAGAATCAGTCGAAGGTTGATTGTTTGGTTCTCACCCACGAGAGGACCGTTGTAGTAAAATACAAAAAACCAAAAAAAGAGTTTTGAGGAGTGAAGTAGAGATTTTTGATCTCGAGTGTTATTTCTGTTCTATACTCGAAATTTTAATTATACTCTTCAATTAATTATATCTTCAAACTATAATTTATTTAATGGTAATTAAATCCAATAATAATAACTTAGGAACGTTTGAAGCTATGGTTACTAATCAACATGACTATAGCTCAATAGTTAGATATTAGTAACATTTCTTTTTTGTAAGTTAACTGATTGAATATAACAACTTGAAACTCATGCTTCCTTTGTTAGACCTAATTGAAGATTTTTTCCCACTTATTTATCGCTTCATATCTCGAAAGGGTATATTACCATATTATATTCCACTTACTTTTTATTTAAATTAAATATTCAAATATTGTACAAACTTAGAATCTAAACCTAATGATAAAATTGAGTTCACATTACTCATATAACTTTTTGTAGTGAAAGGATAAGATTAATTAATTAGTTTAATCAAACTTTTTGAAATAATGTATTCATAGTACTAATATAAAGTGGTGGGATTACCATAAAAATATAGTAATGAACTCATGCTATGTGGGGTTGCATTAATTAGGTTACTTGGCTTGATAAAGTTGAGCCTTTGGACCCGCTTCATGTTTACCGTGTATATATTGTATATCTTTCCTGAACCGTGCTTGACGAACATGTAAGATATTAAAATTCAGGTAGGTGGCTACCATATATTGAATTCTTTTCCTCTTGTTTCTCGGAGACTCTTTCGATCACGAGACCAACTCACGATAGATGTCCACATAAGTACATCTTTTCTAGTTCCTTCCAGATACTAACGGGATAAAAAAATGACGCTTTGGATCATGGGAGAAAGGGATGTTCATAAAGTGTTTGATATCTATTTCCAAGCACGATTTACATCATCATGTTTCAAGTGCCATAAATTATTATTTAAAAAGTTACTTTTTGGATAAGTTTACAAATCGATCTTTCAAACTAAAATGGATCAAAAACATGTTTGTGAGAAAAAGAAATGAAGAGATATGATTCGAATACCTTTTAGTGGAAGAGATTTCACAAATCCCGGAGGAACATAACCTCATTTCTAACCCAAATTCTTCAAATTTCAACACAAAAAAGAAATCAAATCTTAGCTCTTTCTTTAGTGGGTAAGAATTAGTGCCTTTTCATTCAATGTTTCCCTCTTATGAGATAGCATTTGATTCCATATGGGCAAAAGATCTTATCAATATAATGCTACTAAATATAATACTTCTAAAGTGACAAACAGATATCTTTTCGATCCTTATAAGATTGTGCCTAATATGTCATTGCTACTAACTCATGTCATCGTAGTGACATCTATCCTTAATTTAGGTTTTAACAAGTTTCTAAGCTTTCATTTTTATGTCTAACAGGTCATTGTCATTAACTCGTGTCATATATTTCAAGATAGCCGGATGAACCTTCACACAATCCAACTAATTTTATAGGTTTCTAAATTTTCACTCTTATGTCAGATGGGTCGCTATTAACTCATGTTATATATCCGTGAGGGGGTTTGAACCAAATTGCGTGCAGCTCACACCGCAACTATTCTCACGAGCGGTAGGATATTAAATTCTAGGTAGGTATACAAACTCGGGCCTTTTAATTTCCAATAGAACTTGGCTATATAATTGGCTGGTTTAGTTGCTTTACCAACCTTAACCCACTATCTAACAGTGTCCTGCCACAATCCCAGATCAAGTTGTTGGAACAAGAAGACAAGAGCTCAATTTATTAACTTCAGGAAACAATAATAAAGACATTAAAGCTCAAAATCCTACCTGCTGATGGAGGAAGATCCTGTAAGATGTTCATCTTCAAGAGAATAATTTGGAAAGCTTTTGTCCTACCTACACACTGTGCTGCCCATCACGAAGTTGGCCTAATAATCAATGGGACCGTTAGTGGAATCAAATATCTTAAAAAGTCAGTGAATTCAGATCATGCTAGCCACCAATCTCAAACATGATTCAATGACATCATTCAAGGTGAACAATTTCTAGACATTGATTTTTCTTTTAGAGTTATAAGAAAATTCGAACTTCTAAAATCTTGATCCATGGTATATGTTTCTTGACAATTTCTAGACATAGAAATAGTTTTTCAAGGTTTATCGAGCTGAACAAAATGACCCGAACACTTGCAGATATAAAAGAGAAAACAAGGGGGTTGAATTTGCTGCAGACACCTGATTGGAAACTGGCAGCTTGTGACCATTATTTACAGACTGACTTGTATTATAACAACCCAAACCCACCGTTAGAAGACAGGACAGACAATATTTGCTAGCGGTGAGTTTAGGTCGTTACATGTATCAAGGGAGGGGCAAAGTTTATCCATTTTTTGGGTTCTTGATGGAGGAAGGGAACCATTGTTGGAAGGAAACAGAAACCAAACATATCATTCTTTTCATGATCCATGTAATTGTGTACAGACAGGAAATTTACAGTAACAATGATTTGGATAAGGAATCCAAGAGAAGCTCATACCTGATATTAACCAATATAAAATAATTTCCAACACTTTACTTGGAGTTCTTAGCCTTCGCCTCAGCAGCTGCGGCTTTAACAGCTGATTTTGTTAAAGTGGTTGGGTTGAGAGCACTTTTTGGATTTAGAACTTTTCGTATCTTCAAAGCAGCCCATGCTGTCCCAACAGCGTGTCCAGCAGCATCAAGGCCTTCATTGGTTGCATTCGCAGCTTGCTCCCCGTACCTGCAATAACAATATAAGAAATTCATTATAAAAGCGTCATAAAGCATGTGAGATTGCTTTCGAACTGCATCTTCTGGCATGAGAATTGAAGTGTGAGTGACTATAAACGATTATGTTATCGAGGTTTTTCCCTACAAACTGGTTGTGAATCGTGCAGATTTCCATTTGACCGAGATGTAAATCTTTCAAGCAAGAAGCAGGAAGATATCCAGAAATCTAGAAAGCAAGCATAGTAAAATAGCCTCCCCTACTTAAACCAGTTGCTAAGCTAGAAGTGTACCAAATTCAAAGTTCTGTTCAGTCCTGTCATAGACCTGGAAGGATATATGTCTTAACTAGTTGAGCCGTGCTTTAGTTGACTTATGATTCTACATAAACCGTAGTCCGGTAGGTACGAGAGATGGGAAACTCGGCGTTTCTCTTGAGCTGTATTCTTGATTTTCTTTTTGAAATTTAGTGGATTCTACTATCCAGTGAGTAGGTGATGGTTTACCTTTTGGTCACAAGTTCAGTTGTCACAGTGGAAGATGTAGCCATGACATTCTTTCCAGCAACTTCAACAGCATCAAAAACTTTGCCTGATTAACAGAAGATGAAATCAGTAATCAACCAAGCTAAGATTGCGTTCTTGTGGGAACAATTAAAGAGAATGAAATCAGTAAAGGATGAAGCAAACTGAAGTTAACAAGTCTCTCTCTCAAACACACAATTCTTTTGTAACATAGATACAGATATATCTAATTTCTTTCTAGACTTTTGTTGATTGGTTTCTATTAGGAATCACGACCTCCACGATGGTAAAACTCTCGCGGCTTTGCTTTGGACTTCCCCAAAAGGCCTCATATCAATGGAGATGTATTTCTTACTTATAAACCTATGGTCATACCCTTGATTAGCCAACGTCAGACTCTCTCTCCCAACAATCCTCAACAGTTTCAACCGACCCAGCTGTTCGTTTTCTTCGTTCTTCTTCTTCTTCGCTAGAAGATTTCATACAGATATTATCAAGTTTGATTAAAGAATCATCAGCTTCTTCACTTTTTTGGAAAGAAAAAAAAAAAAAAAGGTAGAGCTGATGACATACCAAACCCATCAAGAGAAGCTAGCACCATTTCCCCAGGGAGCATTCCAAAAAACTTCTTGCCAACTTTAGAATTAGCCACTGAACTTGTAAAGTATCCAGAAACTTTAATCATTCCAGAGAGTACTCCATTTGCTACTTTCTCCGACATACTTGTAACCCTCTTGACCCTAAATAAATGAAGGGTCAGACCAAGAAAGTATTTGGCAAGTGTTTCCATGCAGTTTGTAGAAGAGTTACAGCTCAAAAAACAAACCAAGCTACTGCCATAAATGCAATATGAAACCCATTTCAGAAAAATGCTCAAATATCTACTTTGGATGTAGCTTTCATGTCCAGAGGTGGCTGCTGCTGCAACAAAAGTATGCACCTACAGCGTTTCTTAAAACATGGGGTACAATAAATTGTAATAAGATAATGAATAGCTACAAAAATATAAGCATTAATAATGAAAACTCAAGAACAAGCGTGTAAAATTCTAAAATCTAGAGACTGAATGAAAACTAAACTCAAAACCTCAACGATGAGACTACATAGAAACTATACTAAAAGCTCTATAACGAGAAGGCTTATGCACAATAACTCCTTGGGTTTAAGCTATAGACCTAATTAAAACAAAAAAACTGAGCTTAGTGCAGAAAGGTCCATCTTCTTTTTCTAATATTCGTGAGGGTTCAGGCCAAGCTGCAACTGTTAGGAATCACGACTCTCCATAATGGTATGATATTGTCCACTTTGAGCATAAACTCTCGTGACTTTGCTTTGGGCTTCCCCAAAAGGTCTCGTACCCATGATCATTCCCTAAATTAGCCAACGTGGGACTTCCTCCCAACAATCCTCAACCGCAACTACATAGCCGCCTGACCTTACTATGTTGCAAAAGTAACTAGTATGATATTAAATCTTGAGTAGGTGACTACAATGACTCGAATCAATTTCCTCATATATGCAGATAGAGTGATGCATATGCCAATTACCATTGCCTAGCGACCTCGAAAAACTCTACATGATATGATACTAGAGAACTTGAATCAAATGCTAACAACATGATAGTGAGAGCAGAAAAACAGAGGAATTAGAGGGAAAAAGAACCTTTTAATCCTCCGGAGGGTTTCAGGGCTGATTTCTGTGTTAGAACAGGGGCTCATCCTCTTCTGCATAGCCTCATTCCCCTGTTTCAACCTTTCTACAGTCACATCACCACACCACAAAATCCCTTTAACCAATTGCCCTGATCCCACTGCAATCAACTTTGCAGCCATTCCATTGTAATCTTCCACATTTGGAGCCAATGTAGTCCAATACGCTGCACATTTGCCTTCCATTTCCTGTTTCTTCTTCCCCGTCTTCAAATCCTCCAGCGACATCTCTTTGGCCAGAGACTCATCCAGAACCTCCACTTTTTTTGCGCTCTCCGATACCTTCTGCAACGTAAAACTACTGTAATTCTGCAAAATCCCATCCAGATCCTTCAATAATCCCTCTTGACCTTTTGAAATAATCGTCAATCCATAGCTCAAATAATCATCCAACCCGTTTTTCTCATCTTCATCATCACTGGAATCGGAGTCCGGACCGCGTTCTTTTGGAGCCCGAAATGAGAAGAAGTAATGCGAATCGTCAAGCTTCACCGCTGCTAAATCCTTCGCCAATGGCCATTGAATGTCGTCAGCGACACGGGCAAACACCGCAACGGCACTCTCGCCTTGGCGAATGAGGACAATCGTCAAATCGCCGCAAGCGAGCTCAACACTATACTGTTTATCAATGAGGTTGAGAATGGCGCCTGGGATTCTGATGATTATTTCTTCCGCCGCAAGGGGAGGAGCCGAAGGAGAATGGCGGTAATCCACATCGACGGGAAACAGATTCTCCACCAAATCTTTCATATCAAGAGTTGGGTAAAGGTTCCCAGTTGAAGATGGATTGGGATTCGCAGAGGAAGGAGAAGGGCATTCGGGATTTGAATGAATCACTTGAGGGTAAAGGGAAGAATTGTTGGTATTGACACTGTTACGATATGGGTTCTGCGAATCCATTGCTACGGAAGAGGAAAACAGAACAAGAAGGGATGTGAAGGAATTGCAATGGATCACAGATTCACATCAATGAATTTGAGAGATGATGAGGTAATTTCCCGCGTCTTGATCGTGGGAGAAGACCCAAGAAGTTGACTAAATTGAATAAATTTATGATCGTCATCGTTTAGACGTCAGACACAGCTCCGTCGCCATGGTTGAAAAATTCTGAGAGAGACAAACAACAACTTCTGGTAGCCGGAGATTTAGCCGGAAGCCAGAATCTTCTCTGGCTTATCCAATTTTTCTTTTATTATATAGTGGGAATTGCGCGCTCTTTATTGTCTCCATCATTCTTTTTCGTTCACAAATAATTAATTGTTTGGTTTAAAGCAGTTTTTTAAAGTCCCGAATAAATTTTAAATAAGGTCTCGCATTTTTACTATATGATATCAATTAAATCGTTCGTCTCCTTTCAATTTTATTTCCTTTGCTTTCGATCTATGACCCAAACAATTCGTTAATTTTGTGTTTTTTTCCCTCGATTATTGAATACCATCTTCTTTAAAACTCTCACTTCTTATTTATTATATTTGCACATGAAAAAAAACGAGAACTCATTTTTACTCAAAGTTCTAATATATTTATATAAAGAAAAAAAGATAGCATAAAATAGAGGGATGAAAAAAAAAAAAAAAAAAAAAAAAAAAAAAAAAAAAAAAAAAAAAAAAAAAAAAAAAAAAATTGTTAAAGGTGTAGTCCAGTTCTTTTAGCCTTGATAAGATTAAAACGAAAAAACAAATAATATTACCAACGTGAGAGTGAGAATTGAACAAGTTTATAATCATACTAACAAAATTGACAAATTTATAATCATACATTAACAAATCAAAAGTAAACGTTAGGGACCTGATCAACAATTCTGAACAAGTTTTTTGATCAAAATGAAGTTTCATCAAAGTGATGCAGTCTTGTTTTCAGCCCAACCAAAAGCTAAGAAAGTGACTACTTTTGCAGATGAACGAACACAATGCAACACTTGGAGGAGGAGAAATACCTAGCACAATATTCAGCTTCGGAAGATGGATGGATGGATGGATGGATCATTTTTCCTCGTCTTCCTTGGGGGGGTTTTCTTCATTCTTCTTGTCCTTAAACAAGATTTCAAAACAATTTACAATTTTAATCTTCAGTGTATTTGTGTTTCAAGGCATAGAAGCACAAATGGATCAACCCCTGGTTAAAAGTAACTGCAACATCTCATGGTTTTTTTACTAATCACAAACTAACCTCTGGCTTTGACTGACTTTGCATGGAAGCCAGTAAATCTTTGACCGATGGATCATTTGGATCTACCCCTGGAAGCTGCAAAACATCTCCACTTGTGTCGATTAAACATAAACCATGTAGTTGGAGCCACTTTTTTGTTTCCCTTAGGGTCGGGTTGGAATGACTTTCGAGTTCAACACGTGGAAGTGAAAGATTCAAACCTTAAGTCGGTTGGTTGAGAATATATGTTTTAACTAGTTGAACTATACTCATGTTAATACCGGATATGAATCATTTGATAGTAATTCTATAAGCTCAAAGAAGTATTTGCGACTTGAAGAATTCATACCGATGCAAGAATGGAGGATACAAATGACTGGTCTGCCAGTAATTTACTCATATCAGGTTGGCTTGTTGAGTCTTTAGCATCCTCCTGCACAGACAACTTGAGGGCTGCAACCGCCCAAGCGGTAAACGAAGATGGAAAAGATAATTAGAACATACATTCAATACAAAGAATGGGTAAACTTAAAGTAAATAACCATACCCAGAGCTAACTCTGGATCATCTATTGTTGCATCTGACATTTCAGTATCCTGCATCTCATGACTCGAGACAGGATCTTCCATCGACATTGCAAGGGCTTGTTGTAACAGAGCATTCTCATCTTCCTGTAATCAAATCCAGATTGAATATCAAAACTTCGCATGTACTTTTATTTTCCATAAAGTTGTCAAGGCAATAAAAATGTCGCCATGAACAAAGTAGGAGCTATGTATGAACATTCTCTCCCCTCCAGAAAAGTGTGAGAAGAGAAAGCATAATAAGCAATGAAGCGAGTGTCACTGATATATTTGAAATAATGGACATTCTATTAGTCTATTGCAGCATTTGAACTTATGTAATTTAAGATAACCAACCATTGGATCACTTGTCTTTTGAGCATCAGAACATTCAGCACTAGCACGTTCGTTCATAGTTGTATCCTGTGCGCCAGATGGTTGTTCCCCTCCTTTTTCCTGCTTTGAAGTCTCCTCAGCAGATCTCTTAGCAGCTACCTCCTGTCTGGCCCTTTCCTCTTCCATTGAGACTCGAAGTGCAAGTGCTAGTTCAGGGTCTAGGTTGGGATCCACACCAAAATCAAAACCGGCCCCACCAGCTGAAGCTGCTGCAAATTCACTTCCTCCCTCCCCATCGCTGGTGAAGATTGGTGTACTGACATGGAAGGGGAGATTGTGAAAACAAATGGAGGGTACTATTTTACTATGTCCAACAATGGAAACAATAAGAAGCAACTGACCTAATAAGTACATCGGAAAGAGCATTTGGACCAGAGGGAACGTGAACAATGTGACTGGAATCATTACTATTTACAGCTGAAAGAAGGGCTTCCAGCTTTTCTGGCTTACAATCATCTTCTTCACCAAAATCAATGATATCAAGTGCCACATTGTTCTTCTTTAATTTCTTTCCAATCATCTCCAACAACTTTTTTTCATGTTTAGCAGGACTAAGAACACATAGGATAGGTACTTGAGAACAATCAATAACTGGGATGGCACAATAAACATGCATAAAGGGGATACAAGAGCCTACCTTCCCGCAAAAACAATAATTCTTTGTTGCTGCTTCTTATTCTGACGATGCTTGAGAGCCAACTGAGCTACCTGGATCCCAGCAGCCAAGTTTGTCTCCCCACCTATCTCTAAACCTAGTGTGGAAAAAATAAAAATGTTAAAAGTTTTATAGAGTAAGCGTAGTGAGAAATCTAGCAAAAAAGACTACAGCTCTTCACTGTAGATTAATTTACAACCCCCTTCACATGGCGTGTAATGTATCAAAAGTGTAAAGCCCAATAGTGTCAAATTCAAGAATTTAGGAGGATGTATACTTTTTTCGTAGGGAAAACTATTCAAAGAGAGGTGTATATATCATTAGTCATCAAAAATCTCATTATTCAGAAAAATTGACAGAACTGCACGGCAGAAATGAACAGTCTATCAAAAATAAAATGATCGATTTCTCAGGGATCAATGAAAAGGTTACATGTAATGCATCTAATAAGTTACAGAGAATGTACAAAATGCACTTTAAGATGTCCAAAATATCATTAGTCATGAGACAGAGAAAGTCACAATCCAGAAACGTGACAGAACTAAGGAGCTTGTTTAAAATTTTGCAACTTTTTTCAAATACAGAAACGATCACATATAAATATCTTGTGCCTAAGTTTTCATGTAATCTCCCATGGCATTTTAAGAAGCCTCAAACAAAAAAAAGGGAACTAACTTATAAGAAAAGGCAAGTAAAAGAACTAACCATGCATGCACCCTAGAATCTTGCCAAGATCACTTGTAGGAGTTACCAAAACCCGAACCCCTTTTCCAGCCATTGTAAGAACTCCCACTGTATTCTCTGGGTTAGACTGTAAGCAAAAAAGCAAACGAGAAAAGAATTTCCTCAAAACTAAGGAACCATAGCTTAAACAAAAAGAGCGAGACTAACAGATAATTCGAAGAAACTAATTACGATAGTTTCTATTTTGATAAAGACGGCAATGTGATATTGATTTTTCATAATAAAAGCCATTCACAGCTACTAACACAATAAATCTATCTAGTTCATAACCCCAAACGGCAACGGAGGCAAAAGAGACAGAAGAGCTAATTTCCCTCCAAACAGAACATAAAATGTAAAATCAAGACTCCACATTCCTTGATTTCGAAGCATCCAAACAATGAAATATAGTCAAACAAGAGAAATCAATCAATCACCTGAGTCTTCGCTCCGCAAATGAGATTAATGGCATCCGCTTGAGCTTGAAATCGAGAAGGAGCATAATCGCCGTTCCTCATCCATTCCGAATTGTCGATACAGATCATCGTCGCCTACCCAAAAGCCACAAAAAAAAAAGATAGTTTCATATCCATACAAACTCAAGGCCATTAAACTAAGTAGCGAAGAATAAAATTCCAAAGAAATGGGGAAAACTGGATGAAATTTGCAATCTGGAACAAGAGATCAGTAATCAGTAACTACCTCGAGCACCATTTTGAGAGATTGAAATCGCCGAGAAATCGAAGGAGTAGGAGAGAATCGCAGAGAAGGCAGAAGACTGAGGTTTCTTGCAGAATAAGCCGGAACGTCTGGAACTGAAGAAGCACTTCACCAGAGAAAACTCAATTTCCCTCCGTTTAAAGATGTGCATTTTGATAAAATAATAATAAATAATAAATAAATAAATAAATTGTTTATAATATAATAAATAAAATAACTCTATTATAAATAATTAAATTACAAATTTAGTTATATGCGTGCGTGTATGTGCGCGTGTGTGAATTCGAGGTTATTATTCATTTTTAAATAATATTATTAATAACATAGACATATGCTCAATTTGGTCATAATATTCAAGTAAGAAGTTGGCCACGTCTTCCTCGGATTTTTAGGGTAAAATGATCCCTGGCGCTATATGTCACAGTTGCACTCTTACGAGACAGGTAGCACTACGTAAAAAGTTTTAGCTTGAACGTCGAAGAGCAATCCACACCCATTGGAGGAATTTCTTTGGTTGATTCACCCCCATTTAGTGAGATTTGTGGCTCAAATCTTTCGGCTTCTTACTCAAAGAGACGAGGGGAAGAGATATAGACTTGAAATGAAGAAATTTCCACTCGGGCATCGGTGAAATCATTTGAAACAATATCCTTGAAGAAATGAGGGGTTGAAAACACTTAGAGGAAGGAGATCAACTTGAGTTACACATGAACACTAAACATTTGGGAAAGAAGTTGATAGGAAATAAACCGAAATCAACGTCATCAGAGCTGAGGAACGTTGTTGGAAACATTGTTGGTTTATGATATGAATTAGTTTTAGATAAACCACTAGTAGAGAAAGCTTTACTTGCGTCCCTTCATTCGTTGCTAAGCCATGGTCCCAAATCTTCGAGTTAGCCCATCTAGTTTGCACACATACCTAAATGATTCTCGCTCGTTAATACATTGAGTCCTTCAACTCATATGTTTGTACACAATATTGTTCCCATTGAGATAAGAATCTTCAATTCACTACCGGTT